CGCGTTGCCCATCGGCCGTACTGGCCGCCTGGTACTCCGCGAGGGGCGTGTACCCGAGCCACGCACTGGCGGACTCCATGTTCACCGAGCTGAGGTCAAAGCTGAGCCCCCCGCGAGCTCGCGCCGGGGCTGTGCGTACAGGCTTCGGGGAGCGCCCGGATGTGGACGGTGAGGTGGGATGGACCCTGGAGCAGGAATAACGTGGGCGGTGGGGTGGGAGCAGGACTGGTACTGGGCCCAAGGAGAGCACTGAAGCTGGACTCAGAGGGTTTCCGGGGGCGGCCACCGCGGGGAAGTCTTTGTCCAGAATTACGGGGCAGGAGGGTTGGCAGGAGGGCGGCAGTCAATCTCAGGCCTTGGCTTGGAGTGGGGATGACTGTCAGGAGCTTCTTCACCAAGCTGACACCACACTCTGATCACCCTTTACTTCACACAGAGAAAACCCTCCCCAAACCCTAACGTTGGGGCCAAGGCATATAATTCTGGGAAAGACAAACCTTGGCCCAGTGCAGGGAGCAGATAGGCGGGGCCTGGGCAGCCCTGGCAGGTGCGGCTGGCTATAGCTAAGACGTTAGACTGGTTTCCCTTATGAGGTGGGTGCTTTCTAGCCCTAGTCCAGGGAAGGCCTTGCACAGCCCTCAAACTACAATGCCTATTCCCTGGATCTTGCTCACTTATAAGTCTTATGGCACTACAGGCTATCCCAGAATGGTAGCTACACACTTTTTAAGCCCACCTTCTTTCTTATGTTGGCTTGGAGGCACCACAGAGTCATCTGTTCATACACAGTGCTTATGGGTGCTTTCTGTGTGCCAAGAACTGGCAAGCCTTAGGGATCCAGACATTGGTTGTCCCCAGACTCATGACAATCGTAATTCCTATGAACGACTCCAAAACCAACTAAACAAGTGCAACGAATTAGTAGGGGGTGGGGAGAAGGTCCCCAGTACATCTGTGCCGACCAGTCCCTTCCTCGCTGGCACCCTATTGACATGAGTTGTTCTGGGGTAAAACAGAAGCCAAACAGAAGGGAAATCAAGCATGTGTCTGGCAAATTCCTGTTGTCAGCTTCCCCAAAGTTCAAACTTTTTGTCAGTGAGTCATAGTGACTGTTGAAGACATAGATGTATGTGTACACCCTGGTCCTGAATGACATGCACCAGCCCAAGGCAAAGCAAGTCAGGGCAACCCTGGAGACAGCTCCACTGGCCTGGCTATAGGGAGGTGCATCCTCTAGTAGCACACTTGGGGGCAAAGTGTGGGCTATCGGCTGATAAAGGAAAAGGCATGTCCACTTTGTCTTCTGAAAGAAGTCTTCAAGGCAACTCTTGAAAATTTTCTTCTGCCTCGGGGCTTGAGGTTTCCCCAGAGGAGAAATTACCCCCTCATTGATAGAGAGATGATTTACTTGTCAGGAAGCTGGCTCACAGGGAGAGGAGCCAGCCCCTGACCACTCTGACTAGGAATCCCTGCATACAGCCACTGCCCATTTCAGCTTCTGCCAGACCCTCCTAGAGCACACAGTATCAGCTGAGAACATACCCTGCCACCTGCCTCGGACACCAGGCACCAGCTTCACCTGGCATGACTCCCGTAGCCAGAGGGCATCCAGCAGCAGGCCAATCAAGCTCCTTCAACAGCCGGGCTCAGAAACCCCCCAGGTACCTACCTACCCCACTTCATCTTAGCCCTTGCCCTCAATTTTTATTACCTTCATACTACTGACCTTACCTCCCTACCTGCAGGCCCGGCTATACTCTGATCACTATGGCTTGTACCATACAAGCCCTTCACTGTGTGGCCTGACAAGGCCAGTGGTCTTGTGGAGCCAACAAGATGTTTGCAAGTGGCTCAAGAAGCATTGTCCTCACAACTACCTCGTCTATGTCGAGGCCTTCTCCCAGCATGCCATCACTGGTATGGTGGGTCATGGGTTAGGGAGGACCAGGATGCTCAAGAGAGCCTCCACCTCACTTAGTCAGCCTTGTTTCCCCCTCTATCCTCCGAGTCAGCCTCCTTTCCATGCCTCTATTGTGTGTATCTCTCTCTGCCTCTCCCAGTCTCTCTGCTCTGTCTTTTGATGCTTCTCTGATTAGCCTCTATCTTTTTTCTGGCTTGTCTTTCTACCTTTCTCCCTTTAAGAATCCCTGAGTCTCTGCTCTTCTTTCTTAGTCTTTGGTGTGTTTTTGTTTTTGTTGTTGTTGTTTTATGGAGCGTCTTATTGTATTGCCTATCTACTTTGCCTCTGTTTGCCTCACAGCCTTCATCCTTCTCTCTCCCTAGGCCGAGCTCTGCTTCGACTGAATGCAGATAAGCTGCAGAGAATGGGGTTGACCCAAGAGGCCCAGAGGCAGGAGGTGCTGCAGCAGGTGCTTCACCTGCAGGTGCGTGAGGAGGGGCGGAGCCTGCAGCTGCTCAGCCAAGGTTAGTAGCAGGGACCTAGAGTACCTGGGTTAGGGAAAGGGATTAGGCTGAGGGGGTAGGATGACTTTTCTGACCATAGAAGGGTGATTGGAAGCATCTGGTAAGGACCATCCTGGGGTGTGCCAAAAATCCAACTGTCCCTCCTATCCATCCTACAGCTTCCTTCGGAAATATGTCCTAGCTGCTGCCTAGACTTGGACCCCAGACCCCAACACTGTGACCAGAGCCCACAGCCAAGGATGTGGCCGAGCTGGCCCTACAGCCCCTTTGGATCCTGCAGGATACCCTAGTGGCTAAACCTAGCCCAGTGAACAGGGAAGGGCACAGGACTGCCACCTCCAGGTTCCTCTGGAGAGGCACTGTAGGTTCTGCCCTGTGGCTGGGTGGGTGGTTGTTGCCTGCTTGAAGACCCTTCTTCTGGGATCCAAGCCCAGGTCCACTCCCTGGTGCTGCTGGCAGCAAACAGGGCAGCTGCCTGGAGCAAGAGTGGGGTTTGAATGTCCCCAGACTCCCAGGGAGTCTGTTTATTTATGTTCCCTCCAACATGTGACCATCGCCCATCTTCTGAGTCATGAGTTCTCCCCTTAAGTCTTTTAATTCTGTTTTCCCTAGCCATCTCCAGGTCAGCCACACAGTGGGACAAGCTTTCTTGGCTCTCTTTCTTGTATCTCTTCCCTAACCCTCTCAGAGTATAGCAGGCCCAACCTGTTATCCACAGGGATGATCGGTCATCACCCCAGCTAGCTGTCATGCCATGTTTTTCACTCAGTGACTGTGAAACTTCAGCATACCCTGTCCACTCATGAGAAGTGAAGTTGAGAGGGGTCCAAGATGCTCAAGCTCCAAGGCCAGTGTGTGACATAACACAGACGCCAGTGCTGCACAGGTAACTCCATGTCCAGCCACCGGTTTCAGCAGTGTTCTCAACCTTACCTTTGAGGAAGTCTTACTTTTAAGCATCTTCCCTACTCCTGACTCTTAGAGACCACCTTGAAGAACGTGTGTGCACACTTGAGCATGTGTGCATGTACACACCTCTATAGCTTTCCCAAGAAAAATCTGTATTTATAATTTTTCCAAGAAAATTATATAGGGCTGTTCCTGTCATGTGTCACCAGACACCTGAACAACCCTTCCTTGGGTATTTGGGGGCTGGTGCTGCCAGGAAGAAAGACAGTGAGGATGCTCCTGGCAGCTCACTCTCACTCTGTCATCTACTAACTTTCCCAGGGACTCTAAAATCTCAGGGACAGTTGAGGCTCAGCCTCCAGTCCCCTCTGTGTGCCAGAAGCTGACCTCAATTCAAGGTTGCTCATTACAGTTAATTTAGGCCACTGACCTGGCATCTCCTATCCTGTATGCCCTCCACCCATGGAAGGGCCACTTTGTTGTGTCTGCCTGCCTTTAGAATCCCCAGTCCTTGTTCCTGCAACCAGAGATCTCTCTCTCTCTCTGCCCTTTTCTCTTTCCTGACTTTCCTATCCTATGCTCCTGTCCTGTCTTCCTTGGTTTTTGGTCACTTTTTTTATACTCTGACAAAAAAAAAAATCAGAAATAAATCTGGTTCTCAAATGCCACCACTGTTGGATCTCTGAGAAGAGGGGTGTCTAGGACAGTGCCTACAGATAGAGCCACTGGAGGGCAGTAGTGTTACATTCTGGAGCCGCTACCTGATAACTCCAGGACACCAGGGTAAACAAGATGTCTTAAGTAGAGGTCCTGTGGATGTTTCCCCAGATTGGAACACAACAGCCCTGACACACTCAGAACAACAGCTTGGGTACATGGAATGAGGCTCTCTGGAGCTGCTGTAACAGTGGGTTCCTGTTGGTTCATGATCTGGGAGTGTAGCTTAATGATGTTGGACATGGTTTGTGGCCCAGGCCTAGATTTGATCTCCAGCACAAAAACAGAAACAGAATCAGGGGTCCTCTAAAAGTAGAGAAGAATCCTTATCTATTCTGCTTTCGAGTGGCTATCTGGTATTCCTGGGCTCAAGGCTACATCACTAATCAATTTTTGTCATCACTCTCTTCTGGCATTTACATATACCCTTTAAATGTAGGTCCACTTGGGTAATCCAGATAGATCTCAAGAACTTCAGTCACATCTACAAAGACCTTTTTTTTTTTTTTTTTTCAAATAAAGTATCACTACAGGTTTAGGAATTTAACATGTCACCTTTTGGGGCTCACTTTTCAGCCAGACCCTGACATACATAACACATGAAGCACGCACCCTGAACACAGCAATCAGACATACAAATAGGAACAGAGGCATAAGCCACAAACACAGTGACCCCACAATACACAGACATGCCTGAATACATACAAACACACTTGCATATTTGACCAGATGCAATGATACCTACAAAGATATATAACAACATCCCCATATACACAGATATAATTACCCAAGCTCACAAATATTAATGCATAATCACTCTCTAACACAAACACACAAGACATACCACATGGTGCACATAAGCACACTACATTGCAAAATGACTTGACACTTTGATATACACAAAAGCCAGTTACAGGGAGGTGGGGCTGAAGAGTTGGCACAGTGATTAAGAGCACTTGCTGCTCTTAGCCAGGTGTTAGTGTCACACACACCTTTAATCCCAGGCAGAGACAGGAAGATCTCTGTGAATTGGAGGCCAGCCTGGTCTACAAAGCAAGTTCTGGGACAAGCTCCAAAGCTACACAGAGGAACCTTCTCTCAAAAAACCAAAGCCATCTCGAAAAACCAAAAAACAAAACAAAACAAAAGACAAACACACCACTTGTTACTTTTGCAGAGTTGAGTTCCTAGCACCCACTTTAGGCAGTTCACAACTGCCTATAACTCCAGCTTCAGGGTATCTGATGCCCTCTTCTGGCCACTGTGCACACACACACACACAAATGTTTAAAAATCAGCTCTTTGGGACTGGAGAGCTGGCTCTGTGGCTAAGAACACTAGCTGGTTTGCCAGATTTCCTGAGTTCAATTCCCAGCAATCACATGTTGGCTCACAACCATCTGTAATGAAATCTGGTGCCCTCTTCTGGCCTGCAGAGATACATGCAGACAGAACACTATACATAATAAATAAATCTTTAAAATAATCAGCCCTTTAAATCATGACACATAGTTACACATGGACGTACATAACCTGAACATATTACACACATCCCACACACCCTGACATCTAGTTACACAGGCAAACAATCTTATCTACAACAGGACAAGCAGATATGCCATGATGTTGTGATGCCTACACACAACTGCCACCTGATACACATGGTCACTTAAGACACATACCAACCTGTGGGCACTGGCACATCACAGTTGTGAACACTCAGATTTATACAGGGAAAGGTAACAACCTTGAATGTATCTCAGTCTGCACACTGACTGCTACCAACATTCTGACATTCCACACCCTGGAAAGTGCCTTTAATGTCAGCATGTGGGTGGCAGAAACAGACAGTTCTCTGAGTTTTATGCCAGCCTTGTCTACAAAGTATGTTCCAGGCTAGCCAGAGGCTACACAGTGAGACCCTTTTTCAAAACACAGAGTGGGGCTGGGACGACAGTATTGTGGTCACCAAATGAAAGCCCAATTTTCCTCTCTTCCCTCCTGAACAAATGAAAGCTTATCTCTAATACAGGGTATCCCTGGGTTTCCTGTGGAGTTCCAGTCTTTTCACTCTACCTCTTTACCAGCCAGCTTCCCCTCCCCAATCTGCCAAAGGAGAGTTTATTTCTCTCTGCTTCATTTATTCCCAAATCCTGTGGGTTGGGGTGTCATTACCTACCCCCAGATCTGACACTAGCAGCCCAGGCTCTCTCTGGCCAGAGAAGCTAGATACTAGCCATTGGTCTAGGACCATTGTTCACAACGACGAGAGTTGATTCAATAGCCAGTAATCCCAATAAAGCCCAATGGTTTTACAGAGTGTAGATTGACTAAGGTGGCCACCAGGACAGATACAGGCTGGGGCGCACCCTGACTGACAGTCTATGGAGTTCCTATAACGGCAATCTTTCCTCATAGGGTCTACTTCAGCTAGCGCAACCAGACAGGTTGCTTAATCTGTGAGACAGAATTTGTAGTGTCCAGAGAGTTCCTGACATGCCTCAGTTTACTGGACTGTCCACAAAGCGACTCCTGCCTTAGGCACGCTTGACAGGCCTCTTGGTGCTGGTACCACCGGGGATAGGGATCTCACAGCCTCGAGGCACAGGCAGGCCCCACTGGCCCCTTCCCCGCAGCGGCTGCCGCGTGAATACCGCGAGAGTTCGCCCCCTCCCCCCCGCAGTAAAACTGTCAAAGGTGGGAGGGGCGGGAGCGCGCATGTGCGCAGCACGGC